TTATTATTATTATTATTTATTATTATTATTACTCATTTATATAGCGCCATTTTCTGTAGCTCAATGGCGCTTAACATTAAGTGTTAAAAATATATACTATATATAAGTACATGCATAATACTAAGGTTGGTAATACATACATTAACTATACTAAAAGTACTATATGTTCTTTTCATTATGAATATAAAATTACTTTATGCTATAAATGTTGACAATATTAAAACAAAACTATAAAAAATACTATAAAATTGGTAATACTCTTGTTAAAATAGTACTTAGTCATAACACTGTTTAAAAAGATGTGTCTTTAATCTAGTTTTAAAAATAGGCAAGGTCTCACTCTTTCTAACATGTTCTGGTAGTTCGTTCCACAGTTTCGGTGCCACATATGAGAACGATCGTTCACCATAGTTAACCAATTTTACTGAGGGTATTGTGAGCAGTCCCTTGGATGAAGAGCGTAAATTTGCTGATGTTGTGTAAGGTTTTAGCATATTGTTAATGTAATGTGGAGCAGCACCATTCAGGGATTTATATGTAATAAGAACAATTTTATAGATGGTGCATTGACTAATGGGGAGCCAATGTAATTGTTTCATTAATGGAGTAACATGGTCGTATTTTCTGCTTCCTGTCACCAGACGAGCAGCACAGTTTTGCACATTCTGTAACCGATCCATAAGAAATTTAGGTAGTCCGTATAGCAAAGAGTTGCAATTATCCAGTTTCGATGTAATAAAGGCATGAACTAGGGTTTGGATATCTGATTTTGATAAGTACTCTTTTATTCTTGCTATTTTTCTCAAATGGAAAAAACAGTTCTTGCAAATGTTGGTAATATGTTTATCCATGAACATGTGTTGATCGAAGGTTACACCGATGTTTCGTGCTGAAGTACTTGGTTGAACTATTGACTTAGATATTTCTATATGGTGTACAGCAGGGCATAAACGATTTCGTGCATTGATTACTAGTAACTCAGTCTTGTCCCCATTCAATTTTAATTTATTTTTGACCATCCACAAATCAATCTCCTTCACATACATTTCAATTTGTACCAGTGCTCCCGCTTTTTCTTCAGTGGTTGACTCAAAAGCGAGATATAATTGCGAGTCATCTGCGTAAAAGTGAAAGTCAAGACCATGACCTCTAATGATATCACCAAGGGGTGAAGTGTATAGTAAATATAATATAGGTCCGAGAACTGATCCTTGTGGGACTCCACAGCTCAAGTCTTTAGAGATTGATTTAACACCATCAATTACTACACTTTGCGTTCTATTTTGAAGATAGGACTGAAACCATTTCCATACTTGTCCATCTATCCCAAATCGTTTGAACATTCTTTGTAATAAAATTTCGTGATCAACAGTATCGAATGCTGCTGACATATCCAGTAGTAACAACACAACACACTTATGATTATCAATAGCCACAAGAATATCGTTTTGCACTTTTAATAGGGCTGTTTCCACGCTATGAAAACGTTTATATGCCGACTGGAAAGGTTCTTCTAGGTTGTTATTAGCCAAATGTTCCAGAAGCTGACCGGCGGCGGCCTTCTCAATTACTTTAGACAGGAGTTTTAAATTTGAAATAGGTCTAAAATTTGTGTATTCTTCGTATTCCAACGAATCTTTCTTTAGTTTTGGTTTCAACACGGCTTCTTTTAGTTTTCCAGGCATACAACCTGACTGAAGTGACTCATTACTGATCTTAGTAATTATAGGTAAGAGAGTCTTCTGACAACTTTGAAAGATTTTTGCGGGAACTGGATCAAGTTCACAAGATTTTTTTCCAACTATATCAATAATATTTTTAATTTCATGTTCCGTGACTTCTTGAAAGTTAATGAATTTAGCGCATTGTACATATTGCTCCTCTTGATTTAGCTGATTACAGTGGGAAGAATCAATGACTAGTTCTTGCCGTATAGTAGTAATCTTATTACTGAAGAAATCTGCAAATTTATTCACGAGTTCTGTGGTTGATGACGCAGTTGGATAGCGCTTTTCTGACTTTCGATGGAGTAATTTATCAACCGTACTAAATAACACTTTCTGATTATGTGCATTGCTAGAAATAACCGATGAATAGTATGTTGTCTTAGCATTCTTTATCATGGCATTCACTGTCTCACATTGTTTAACATATAACTGTCTGTCAATACATAATCCAGATGCGCGCCAGCGGCGCTCTAATTTCCTGCGATTTCTTTTTTCTTGACCAATCTCTTCATTGTACCATGGTGATAGAGGACGGAGAGTTATAATTCGTCGTTTTTGTGGGGCATGTTGCTGTAATGTTTCTTTCAGCGTATTTTCATATTTATCAATAAGGACTGGGAGATCATAATCATAATCATCATCTAAATCTAGCACTTTTAGATCTTCATTGAAACTATTCATGTTTACATTGTTTAATTTTCGATAGTAAATTTCAGCTTGCTCCAATGGTGGTTTCTCTAATTTTAATGTACAATGTATGGCAAGATGATCCGATATTACTGGATCATGTATTCTGATACCAGTAACTAATTTATCTTCATTCCTTGTTATAATCAAATCTAAAGTGTGGCCTTTCGTGTGGGTTGGCCCATTGACGTGCTGTTGTAAATTAAACGATTCCAGTATCCTGTTGAGTTTAGTAGTATCTGGATCTGTAATGTTATCTACATGGAAATTAAAGTCTCCTGCTATTAATATATTGCCAGGTAATATGATCAACTGTTCTACAAGTATGCAGAATTCTTCAAAAAATACTGAACTGCTTAGTTTGTTAGTCTTCGATGGCGGTGGTCTATAAATGACAATCGTTCTGGTGCAAGTGTTACGGTAGTTCAGGGTGACATCAATATATTCAAAAGAAGAGAATTTTCTCTGGGATTGTTTTTTGGTTTTAATATATTTCTTCAGTAAGAGACCAACTTCTCCACCTCGGGCATTTTTCCTTGTAACGTGGTAAAAGTGATACCCTGTTGGGCAGATTTCAGCAATAGAAAATTCGTTATCATCCTCACGTAACCATGTCTCAGTCATTGCCAGAATATCAATATCGTTCTCAGAGACATAGTCATTAATAAAAAGTTCTTTCCTATTTATTGATCTGGTGTTCGAATTCAGCAGACAAAAGTTGATAGGCATAAAATAAGTCTTTTGTTCCTTTGTACAATTGACATAAATTAAATTATTAAAATTTACATATCGAGATTGTTTCGTATTCTTAGTATCTCGCTTGTTAACATCAACATTACGACAGGGCTTCAAGTTTAATTTACATGCCGTAGTTCTGACAGGTATCTGTTTTGCTACCTCTGCATCCAAATTCTGGATTCTGGTTTCTGGATATGGGTTTGGGGGTCTGGATATGGGTTTGGGGCTCTTGACGATGGTGGGTACGAGCATTGAGACATTAGAGGTGGTGGGTACGGGTGCTGAGACATCGGGAACAAGGGATGAAGCATTGGATGACGGAAGGGGGGAAAATAATAATTCGAATGGGGGAAAAAAGGAAAATGGTTAAAGGAAATTGGTGCAGGCATGTTATCAGGACCCGGATAATGGGAAAAATCGCATCTATCATCCTTTAGACAGAATCCATTCTTCCGTAAAAAGGGACAGGGTATTCGGGACTTATCATGATGTTGTGGTTTAGGGTGGTTTCCTTGTTGGATTTTCGGTCCACATACTGCAGGTAAAACATTTTTATGAAAAAAGTCACATCTGGGTCCTTTCAAACAGTGGCCTTTCCTTTTTAGGAAAGGGCACGGCACTAATGCTTTTTCCTTTTTACTTGTGTTAATACGATAGCCTGGGGGGGTTTGTTTGGGAGATGGAATTACACTGGTTCTTGAACTTGTATTGTTTTCATTCATCCAAGCTGGTGTTTTAACTGCAGATGAGATTTCAATGTTAATTGGACTTTCATTGTTTATGTTCAAGTTCTCCAATTGTGCACCCAAGGTGTTATTTCGGCTGGAATATTAATTACATTATTAGCTGACCCGCGATCATTGTTCTCCGTTAGGGTTTTATTATTACTATTCAAATGAGCTGTTGTTTTATCTGCAGATGGAGTTTCCATGTTAATTGGGCTTGTATCATTAGCATTGTTTTCTTGATTTACATTATGAATTACTTCAAGCATGAAGTTTTCTATTGATGATAATTTAGACTTAAAGAATGAATTGTCTTCTTTAAGTACCTGAATTAATTCATCCTGATGTCCAATTACGGCTTCCAAATCTTTTAATTTTACTCGGAGCGATTTTATCTCAGACTCATTATCGCTTTTAGAGGTTACGCTGAGCAACCGAGATTCGAGGATTGTCCTTTCCAACTTCAAACCCTCTAATTCCGCGCTTACAACCGCGTTAACACAGCTACAAGTGCATGTACAAACATGGCCACATACCTCAGGTTCATCGATGCATTTCACATTCCTGTCAACAACACAGCTCACAGTTTCATGATTCTGTTTATTCACGTCGGTAACTTCAACTTCCATTAACCTCTCCAGCGATATAACTTGGCTTTCCTCATCGGAAAGCCAAGTTAAAGCCTCATACTATCAGGGCGTATGGATGATTTGGCGAACACGCAAATAAAATTTGGTGGCTTAGTTAGCCAGGAACAATCGACTACATACGAACAATGGTATCGCATACATCAAAATATCTTAAGTGATTTGAATACAAGAATTTCAAAGCTAATGGACGATCGAAGCTCCGCAATTTCTAAACGCTCGCATCGAAGCAAAACATCTGGAAAATCGACATCGACTAAGACATCGAATTCTTCGCTGCGTCGGAAGTCGGAAATGCTAGCTAAGAAAGCTAGACTTGAAACTAAGCTAAAATTTCATGACGCTGAAATAAAAAAGATGGCTGAATTAAAAAGGCAAGAAGATGAACTGAAACATTTCCGAATCGCGAAGGAGCTAGCTGCTACCAATGCCGAAATTGAGGCAGTCGCTAAAGTTGAGTCAAATTACAGCATTGAGTTGAACCTCGAGAACATATCGAAGTTGCCAGATGACGACAACTCCGGAGAACGAGTAAAGCAGTATCTGGAATCTCAGCATACTATCAACAATAAGGGCCTAAGCACACTTCCAGTTGACATAGATATCTGTGGATCCATAGTCAGCAAAACTCTAGCTACAGGCATAAATTCAAAAGATCAAGTGACACCTGGCAACGATTTAAATCCTTTATCTCCTCTCATTCCAACGACACATCCGAGCTTTATACTACCCACTCCTCCGCTAGCTGTATCGCAAGGAGAAATGTCAAAAGAATCACTCCCCGTTTCTACGATCAGGAGAGATACGTCGCCTTACGTCTCTGCCGATTCATTAATAAGACTGGCGGACCTGCTCGCACAACGACAAGATTACGATTCGCTCCCACGTCCTCAGCCCGATGTCTTCAGTGGTGATCTACTTCAATATCCAATTTGGATCAAGGCCTTCGAGACTTTAATCGAAAGAAAAACGAATCAACCATCCGAAAGACTTTATTATCTCGGAAAGTCCACATCTGGGGAAGCGAAAGAAGCAGTAAGCGGTCTCTTACCCTTGGACACAGAAACAGCCTACGCGAAAGCCAAGAAAATCCTAGCGAACAGGTTTGGTAATTCCTTCCTCGCGTCGAATGCGTATCGGAAGAAACTGGAGAATTGGCCAAAGATTGCGCAACCTCGTTCCCAGGGTATTTGCTCTTGGGAAGCAAAGACCCTGGTGGACGCTGGTCACGTGATCTGCTAAAATCTAGCAGATTTTTAATTAGCGTTGTTTTGTCAATCTGGGAGGGGTGGGAATGTAGTAGTTGACATTCCCCAGATGCATTAGTGCTGTATACTTCACTTTACATGTATTAATAAACATGATTTATACTGTTCTAAATTCGTCCTCATCATGACAAGATTTCCTGCTATATTGAATGTCATCAATAATAAGTGCTGCGGTACATTTCAAGCGAGAAGCTGGATCATATTTCACTTGCAAGGAAAAATATACTCCACACGCGCCTGGCTAGTGAGCACACATCAGATCGCCGTATAAACATACATATCTGATATCTTCTACACCGACTGATCGATCAAACGGTATTTATATAAAACGAACGATATGATATGGTTGTTTATAGTTGAAATGTATCCTGTCCGATATTCAAAACAAAGGATTTATTTTATAACGGGATCCTTTGATTTCCCAACTGAAGTACTGAACATCGCCAACTGTGTATATAAAAACAATAGTGCTATTTTGACTGTGAATTACAGTAAGCACAGGATTAAAACCCGTTATTCCTTTTATTTACATTGCTGAAACAGCTCAACGATCAAGAATGATATATGTTGAAGTACAGCTACAGTATACTGTTATCACACGCCAAGACTCCTCGGTGCGTGCGGTACAACTTGAATATCTAGGACGATATATGCACTAGACTAAATTATATCATATATTGCAGTAAACATTATAAATCTTATAAAGACCTTTCACTGGCATTGGTATTAATGCCCAGGCATTATTTGAAGAATAATCCAACTTAAAATCCAGCTTCTTTCGACTTGTATAATGCCGCTGTGAGTCATCAATATTTAAATCAACTTTAATCTTTATCGTATATACCCCTATACTGTGTCGTAACTGTAATTGAAATTTTAGAAGTTTCACCAAACGATACTTCGTAACTGTAAGCAAACAACCTATCTATCAGTATCAATAGAAACTTTAAAAGGCTTAATAAAACTCATTAAGTAATTCTATGAGCGAGACTTGGTGCGCATATACAGTTTATGAATTATGTATATATAAATATATATCCCTGATAAAACGTATAGGGACACTTCGTACCAGATATAATAACAAATACTTTGCTAAATCTTTTCGGATATCATTCCTTTGCATTCAGGGTGGGAGGGTGAATGGCGATAGCTATAATTTATTATAGGAGATTCTGTGCAATATTTTGGCTCAACAAACAGGTAGTCGTGAAGACAAAAAAGTGCACTGTCGAGTGTCGATTCCAAACAATTTTGTCAGTCGCTTTTGATACCTCTATTTTACAAAATTTATACCGTTTCCTTTCTATATGACAACAATTCAATGGCATATTATAAGAATATTGTAAATATCTGAACCAGAGGCAGAGCCAGGACAGAAGCGTACGTATGAAATGAAAATATTGTGCCCGAACCCCGAGAGAATATTAAAAACGCAACTATTTCAAACCATACGGTCATACGTTTTCGTTGCTTGATTTGCTGACTTGTCTGTTAGTATAAGAATCTGCATTTTACCAAGTTTGTATAATTTAAAACGGCAAACAGAAACCAATTTAGCAAGAATTTTGAAGAATATATGATTCTCAAAGATTATTGTACAGCACGGCCACTCCTTGCAATCGAAGTGTGAAGTGCGGAAGTGGAAACATGTAATATGAGACCTTTCCATCCCCCTCTGAGGGAAGAGATTATTTCGCTGGCCTCAGAATGACAAAACGTAACAAAGCAACGGTTTTACTAACACTAGCCCTACTCCAAACACCAACTCTAACTTTAACCCTAACCCTAACCTAACCCTACTCCAAATTTGTTTCTAAACCAATCTTGAAGAAAAAGGTTTTGGCAAAATGTCATTCTGAGGTCAGCGAAATAGTTGATGCCCCCTCTGAGGCTATCAATTTTCTATGGGTCACGTGACCAGCGTCCACCAGGGTCTTTGCTTCCCAAGAGCAAATACCCTGGGAACGAGGTTGGCCGGTCTCTCGTGTTGTTATTCAATGCCGTCTCTTCACACTCGAGCGCGGTTTTATAACAAACGTTTATTATGAGCTTTTCAGTCATCATTTCTACATATGTAATGATTTTAAAATACGCCATTAGATTTGTCCTTTCTTGTAAATGTTTATATGATTTGCACCGATTTAATTACTTGTTACTATACGTCTACGCGTCTTGTTTATAGGATTGAAAGAAACAGTATTGTATTGTCTGGGACTAGAGCCCAATATTAGCAAATGTAAACATTTGATACTAGCCAAACAGAGAAGGTCTGTCAGTGATTTAGGCCGTTTGCCGTGACCCGATATCGTTCACTTTCGTTAAGCATGTCGTGGAACTGAAATATTTTCACGGTAACTAACATTTTCGAACACGCTGAATTCAAATCCGAAAAGTTGCCGCTCCGTAGACCCGCAGTTTTTTCACAAATTGCATTTGTATTTTCAGTTTTTTGACGAACAAAAATAAACACGCGCCATTTTGAAATTAAAAAACATCACTCAGAGTATGCCGTTTGTGCTCCCCAGTCTCCAATGCTTATGACCGAGTAACCGAGTTTAAGATTTAGAGCAATGTTATTAAATTTGCTGCAAAACAAACACAGTCACGTGGTTTTAAAAATGGCTAGTCTGAGTGATTTTCAGTTTATTTGCCAGTAAAATC